GGGGACACATGTGTGGATATGACGTAGACAGACTTGACAGCCAAACGTTTGGTATACATCCAATCTTTGTGGTGATCAAATGTGAGTCGTGCTGACAAAATGAGTTACTCCTCACAACCCATGAGTGGAGACGTCAGCCGAAAATAGACACATCAAATTTGTAGATTTTTAAGGGGTGCCATTTTTTCTTCAAGTTAAACTTGTCTTTTATCATTTCATATAATAAATTGTACAAACCCAACCTATACATTCCATGTATCTATCTGTGTCCATAGGGGTAAAATCCGAGACTTCACTCATTTTGTCAGCATACCTCACTAATTGTTAGTTCATTGAAAAGGGTGCGCCGATCTTTTCATCACCGGCACCATTACCTTTAATGGTGGAATCGTATTTAATACGTTTACTTTTATCCGCCGCTTATAGTCTAGAGCTGGGCAATGAGTCGCTTCAGCAAAATCCGGATAATATTTTAGTGCACCTCTTCGGCTAATAATATGATATGAACCGCTTCGGCAAATGGGTTAGAACCACTTTGACAAACAGGTTAGCATCACTTCAACAAATGGGAGCACCCACTTCGGCAAACGGGTCAGGAAAGAGAGTTAAGAGTCTGAAATCGGATAATGTTTTATTGAGAATTATCCGGTTATCCTTTTGGATTATCCGGATTTTGCCCACCTCTAACTTATCACCATTTGGGTGTCGCGGGAAGAAAGAGACGTCTCTCTGTCGCCAGCCGGAGAACTTGGGTCATGGAGACGTCTTTCTGTCGCCAGCCGGAGAACTTGGGTCAGGGAGACGTCTTTCTGTCGCCAGCCGGAGAACTTGGGTCAGGGAGACGTCTTTCTGTCGCCAGCCGGAGAACTTGGGTCAGGGGGATGCCGTGAGTTGTTAGTGTTCCCCTGACTCCATCTATCCAGGTCTTTCTCGGTCGCCCTCTGGCCTTGTTGCCATTGAATTGTTGGATGTAGACACGTTGTGCTGGATGGTGTGTTGGTAATCGCATGAGATGTCCGAACCATTTGATATTTGATACTATATTTAATAATGATTATAATCGCACTTCAAAATAAAAATAAACCGACATTGTCAGG